GTGCACGAGCCTCTCTTTCATGTCCAGTCACTTTTGTTCAGATTCAGCCTTATCTGTCTATTTTATAGATCTTTTGGAAAGCGACTGTCTGCTTTATAGATGTTTTCGAAAATTTGCAATTGCTGTTTTAAATAGTAAAATTAAAAAGAATTTAAATATACTTTTAAAAAAAACTATGTCAGACAATAATCGAAATATCGCTGACATTATGATATTTGATAATCGATGATTAATATTTTAATTAGCTGTTAATATGAATATTAGCTGTTAAAAATGAATTAGTGTAGTTAAATTACTAAAAATCTATAGCTTCTTTAACTAAGCGACGAATTAGTTAGTGAAAATTATACGCTGCTGACTCTAACGAACGACAATTTCAAAATGCATTATTCACCTTCAACATTTTTATAAAACTTTCCATAAATAAATCATATTATTTGATTCTTACTTCTAATTGATTAAATAAAATCTTGCTTATTTATCTATTTATCTCTTTTAAAATTTATCTGTTTTAATTAATATTTATTTACAAAATCTCAGCTTGTTGAAAAATAATAGATAATTCGTAAATAAAATCAATTTTCTTCATTGAAGTGGATTTTACATTATATTTATATTATATGCATAAATATATGTTATATACAGAATACGAAGAATTTTTTATAAAAAATATTCCTATACAGTTAGACAAGTATAACGTCGACATCTGTAATGCTAACAACATATTATGGCAAAATTTTCATAGAACTTTATTGTTACATATCAAACGTCGGTATTTATTATGATTTTATTCATATAATATTTAGCATTAATATAATAATTCTTATTGTATTAAATTACTTTTAAAAATATATATCAAAATAATGTATATATACTTTTTATTTTATTGTATATTATGTATGTACTTTTATTATATGGATATAGCACAAGTTAAGAAACTACTTTCTACGGTTATTGTACTAAAAGAACTTGAATAAAGAAATTTTAAGAAGGTACATTTAGAAAATCAGATATACTATATTCGATATATGGTAAAATAATATAAATTGCGACTTTCAGTTTTCTTAATTAAATATTAATTTTTTCAACATTCTAAGGTCAATTGTCGTATGCGTTTAATTAAGTTTTGTAAATCTTCAATTAAATTGAAAATTTACAATTATTAATGAGGTTGTAAAATAAAATGTTACTTTATTATAGTACAAATCCTTAGTACAGTTCAATGTCGAATGGTTTGACTATATATTTCTTATTTCAGTATAAAAACAAAAAACAAAAACAAAAAAAAAGCTAATGTAAAACAATTTTTTTTTTTTTTTTTTTTTTTTTTAATTAGCTATTTTGTTCATCAGTTTTATTACGAAATACGTAACAGAGATATAAGTATTATCAAATTGCGCGTGCAATCGAAAGTCCGAAATCTAAAAAATAATCGGACCAACGTAATATGAATATATAGGGTAAAGTATCCTTCATATAGAATTAAAAATTGTCACGCTCGCTCGTGCAATAATAATAATTCACGACTTGTTTACAAAGAATCCTGTAAATTCAAATAGAATGCATAATTGGCGTATCAATCGCGTCTCACAGCTTGTTAAAAAATTATTTATTCAAGATTAATTGCCTAAAGGTGATTTAATGCATGATTTAATTCATTTTTTAATTGAAATTTGTCATTAGTGTTATTTTGATGGATTAAAAAAAAATTTTTGTTTTCATTTCGTAATATATAATTTTTAATTATTTATTTGATAAAATTATATTATTAGCTCTACATTAAATACATTATATTTACATTTACTTTCAGTAATATATTATTTTGATTTATATTTATTTACTAACAATAATGCATTTTATATACACGAATTTAGAAATAAAAATTAACTTTCAATCACCATTACTATAATTTAAATGAAAAATAATTAATTATTTCAATTAAAGAAAAAATATGATTAACATATTACAAATACCGAATTTTTTATATTATAAAAACTAATTATATTACTTGGTTGAAAATTTTATCATAAATTTCATTACTGACAATGGCAGTTTGATGTCTATAAATTTCGAAAGATGTATTTACTTTAAAAATTATTTAATACATAATAAATTTTTTAATTTTATCATTATAAATATGTATAATATTTATGTAAGCTTACGTATTCAGGTAGAGAATCAGCTGAAAATTAATTTTATGAAAATTTATAACCAAATTTTATAATATTTAATACACTTATAAAGGCATGATATTCTTAAAGGTACAATTGTAGAATAACAAAACAAAATAATAATTACATCGATTTAATATAATATAACTATTTAAGCCTGTTTTTAACAAATCCATATTATCACGATACTTTGTTATGAAAAAAATTACGAGTTTCAGCATTTTTCAAGCACTTTTAACTTAATTTTTGTCATTCCGAGTGATTCAAATGAATAATTAAATAAAATACGCATTTTATTTAGTTCGTGAATTTTTCAAATGAAAATGAAAAAAAAAAACTATAAAACAAATACATACTTACTGAATTATAAATTATAAATAAAATTCAGCAATAATATTGAGAATATTTTCAATCAATTGTATAGATCATAGTTATTTAAATATGATAATGAATTAAATATAAAAATGATAAAAAATTGATTATATTTTTAACCGAATAGCTAATCATTTTGTACATGTATTTCAAATCGAATAATGGATAATGTTTTGTAAAAATTTCCGCCACTTCAATTACATACCAATAAGCAGCACTAAATTTAAATAAAAAATAATCTGCTTTGAAATCATGATATTGTATTATTAAAATTAAATATTATTTACAATATTTATCTTTGAAATGAAAAAATTTAATTATCATGACGACAAAGCTAATGAATTTAATATTAGCATACATGATGTAGTCAAGTGTTTAATGCAGATTATGCATCGTTGATTCTTGATTAATATGACAAATGAACGAAAGGCGAAGAAAGATAAGATCGCGTTGAATATAAATGATTACGATAGCTGACGATAGAAAAATCACCGACGCAGCATTTCATGTAAATGAGTCGCCAATCACTGCAAAAATCTCCGTGACTGAGTGGAAGGCTAAATTTTAAAAGGCCATCCAGTAGTTGCCAAAGAAATATCATCGAAGGGACTCGATAAAATTGCCCAATGCCCGCCGTAACTCAATTAAACACGAGAAACTCAAGGTACAAGCAAGGTACAGTCGATTGAACGTACATATGTTGTTACCTACACAATTGACAAACAATACAACTATATAATATAAATTCCTTTTAAATTTACGCTACAAATCTATCTCAATGGAAAAGTTCTCACGTGCCGTCGGATGCATCGATAGCTAAATTCATCATTTCAACATTGTTTTCGTGCTTCTTTAATACCTTATTCATTATTTCCACCCACCATACTCTCTCTTTATTAACATGAACTCTGTGCATACAAGCTTTAGATATTCGTGTATATTTTTTCAAGTCGCTATCCTTTACCACTCATAATAATTAAGAGAATAATTTATTCTCTAGTTGGCTAATAGACGCGGCATTTGTGAAAAACGTGGACAATTAATTATTACTTGTATATTGATTGAAAATATTTATTTTTATACCTACGAATCGTTAAAATGAGCTTATACGCATTATATACGTGTATACGGGCGCGTGCGTGCGTATATATGCTTGAATACGTATACATGTATATGTGCATAAGTGTATAATTACATAATGATGTAATAATAATTTTTTTATCGCTTAATTTAGATTACGGCAACTTTCTCACATAAAACATTCATTTAATTAATTTCTTAAAATACCGCGGCAAAAGATAGCTAAAAATTTTTAATAAAAAGTATAATAGACTCAACTTTTATTTCTAATAATAAGATAGTGTGATTTAATTTATTAGTTCAATTTAATGCACAAACAAGTAAGTGCACTTATTTTTCATAAACTATGTAATTACTTGGATCATTACATATTAAAATTGTAACGAAGTTATATAATTTTTAGATTATTTTTCATTCGGAATGAATATTTTTTTTTTTTTTTTTTTTTTACTTAAAATAATGTTTTTTTTCAACAACGTAAACCTGTTTTTAAGGAATCTTAATGTAATATTCAATGTTCGTTTACTAGTCTTTGAATCTTTCAATCGTTTTTTTTTTTTTTTTTTTTTTTTTTTTTTTTTTTTTTTTTTTTTTTTTTTTTTTTTTTTTTTTTTTTTTTTAAAAAAGG